CGAGGGTGTGTGTGGTGTACCAGCATGCCTCGGGAACAACTGTGCTCAGTTTCCGCTCTGTAGCTAACCTGTACGGCTCTGTTCTGTGCTTTGAAAATGTTTAAGACTATCAACTCACCCTCTGCGTGTGAGGTTCGCTCAGTGATACGGTTTTTGTCAGCAAGGAACCTGCCTGCTGCAGAAATTCATTGACAGATTGGTGATGTGTACGGTGATATTGTTATGAGTGAAAGCAAAGTGCGTAAGTGGGTACGACAATTCAAAGATGGCCGTGACAACGTCCATGATGACGACGACGTGAAAACGGCAGTGAACTCTTGGCTATCGGAGCAGGCGGCAAGTTTTTATGAAGAGGGTATTTTAAAATTGGTTCAGAGACAAACTTGGCAACTATGTCGAAAAATAGAGTCAAGTATGTACTTTCTGAAAACAAATTTACTTTTTTGAAATGAACTTTCGTTGTGTACTTATGTTCAAACGGACCTTACTTAAAAAATACCCCTCGTATGTATGTGTGTGTGTGTGTGTGTGTGTGTGTGTATATATATATATATATTAGGGCTGGGCGGTTTCGTTCGTTAATTTCATAATTCGTTATTAATTCAATATTTTTTTTGATAACGAAGCGATATTGAACCATTCAGGAGCAACTAAAAAACGAAACGAATTTTTTCAATTCGTTTCGTAATTGTTTCGTATTTGTTTCGAAATCGATTCGTAATTGATTCGAAATCGTTTCGTTATTATTTCCGCATGTCTGGTGCAAGTTTTATAGTCGTTGTTTGTTTTCTCAGTGAAAAAAAAATGATCACACCAACAGTCAACAACAGAGGGAGAGGGAAGCTTCCTGTCCCATTTGGAGGTTTTTTTAGAGTATTGCGCGATCGCGTCCGCCATTAACGAATCGATTCGTAATTGTTTCGAAATTGATTCATAATTGATTCGTAATTTACGAAATTTTGTAAATATCGAATTTTTTTTAAGGAAAATTTCGGAATTAATTTAAAAATCGAAATGCAAAAACCCCCTAAAAACGAATCGAGTTTAGAAACAAATTTTTCCGTGGTTGCCCAGCCCTAATATATATATATATATATATATATATATATATATATATATAAATATATAAATATATAATATGCTTTCAGCATTCAACCTTTTTACGAAACTTTGCAGTCCAGTGCCAATTCAGGATGCATGAATATCAAAAAGAGAGGGAACCTCCTTGCATGGCATTGTTTTGTTTTATGGAGTAGGAAGCGGCCTGTAAGCCCACTCGTGACTATATGACACGAACAGGAGTGTCCCGGTCCAGGAAACAGTTAACTCCAGATGAAATATATGAAAGAGATGTCGCTACTCCGAACTGTGCAAAGAATGTAAGCCAACTGGCATAGTCTCATTTTAACTCTCTGGATTATATGAGATCTGTCTCTTTCAACATATGACTGATGCATACACACTCATTCACATACACACACACTCAATGTAAACAAAAGTTATTATTAGGACCAATATATTCCAAAATACAGGTGTCCGAATTTGGTTGTCTGAACCCATGTTTACTCACCTAAAAAAAAAAGTAGGGTGACTATCAAAGGTGCTACTGAGAGCCAACTCATTCCTTTAGTTCAGGCATAGGCAAACTTGGGCCATCCAGGGGTTTTGGACTACAACTCCCATTATTCTTCACACCCCCTCCTTTTCCCTCTCAGCGGTTTAAGCTGAGTGCTGGGCCCATAACCAAATGTTAGGTTCTCTTGCCTGTGCAGAGTGCAAGGAAACTCCTTCTACTTCTTTGGCCCTCCTTCCAGACGTTTTGGACTTCAACTCCCACAATTCCTAACAGCCTCATGTCCCTTCTTTTTCTCCCTCAGCCGCTTAAGCCGAGCGCTGGGCCCATAACCATTGTTAGGCTCTATTGCCTACGCGGAGTGGAAGGAAGCTTCCTCTACAGCAGGCATGGGCAAACTTGGGTCCTCCTTCCAGGCATTTTGGACTTCAACTTCCACCATTCCTAATAACCTCAGGCCCTTTCCTTTCCTTTCCTTCCTCAGCCACTTAAGCTGAGTGCTGGGCCCATAACCATTGTTAGGCTCTATTGCCTACGCAGAGTGGAAAGAAGCTTCCTTTACACCAGGCATGGGCAAACTTGGGCCTTCCTTCCAGATGTTTTGGACTCCGACTCCCACAATTCCTAACAGCCTCAGGCCCCTTCTTTTTTCCCCTCAGCTGCTTAAGCCGAGCGCTGGGCCCATAACCATTGTTAGGATCTATTGCCTACGTGGAGTGGAAGGAAGCTTCCTTTACACTAGGCACGGGCAAACTTGGGCCCTCCTTCCAGATGTTTTGGACTCCAACTCCCACAATTCCTAACGGCCTCAGGCCCTTTCCTTTCCTTCCTCAGCCACTTAAGCTGAGTGCTGGGTCCATAACCAAAGTTAGGCTCTGTTGCCTGTGCAGAGTGCGAAGAAGTTTCCTCTACAACAGGCATGGCCAGATTTCAGGTGTTTTGGACTTCGGTTCCCACAGTTCCTTTGGGCTCGGGCCCGTTCCTTTTCCTTTTCAGTCGCTTAAGCATTTATTAGCAGGAATTTCCCAGCAGCAAAGCATAAGGGCTGGGCTGGAGGTTTGGGTGGCTGCACGAAGCAGAGTTCCCCTCCTGGGTTGCCTCAAGGAAGGCACGTTCTGTAGCGGAGGAGATTTTCTCTCCCTCCCCAGCTTAAGCCTAACATTGGTTATGGGCCCAGCACTCAGCTTAAGCAGGTAAGGGGGAAAACGAAAGAGATACAAGCAATATATCCATTTCAAAGCAAAAACGGCTTGTGAGTAGTTATTTAATATTGCTATATAGATCCCACAGTCTTACAGCTTAAGCAGGTGAGAGGGAAAACGAAAGGAGATTTTCTCTCCCTCCCTAGCTTAAGCCTAACATTGGTTATGGGCCCAGCACTCAGCTTAAGCAGGTAAGGGGGAAAACGAGAGGAGATTTTCTCTCCCTTCCCAACTTAAGCCGAACATTGGTTATGGGCCCAGCACTCAGCTTAAGCAGGTGAGGAGGAAAACGAAAGGAGATTTCTTCTCCCTCCCCAGCTTAAGCCTAACATTGGTTATGGGTCCAGCACTCGGCTTAAGCAGGTGAGGGGGAAACGAAAGGTGATTTCTTCTCCAGCTTAAGCCAAACATTGGTTATGGGCCCAGCACTCGGCTTAAGCAGGTGAGGGGGAAAATGAGAGGAGATTTTCTCTCCCTTCCCAACTTAAGCCTAACATTGGTTATGGGCCCAGCACTCGGTTTAACCAGATGAGGGGGAAAACGAGAGGAGATTTCTTCTCCCTCTCCAGCTTAAGCATAACATTGGTTATGGACCCAGCACTCGGCTTAAGCAGGTGAGGCGGAAAATGAGAGGAGATTTTTCTCCCTTCCCAACTTAAGCCTAACATTGGTTATGGGTCCAGCACTCAGCTTAAGCAGATGAGGGGGGAAACGAGAGGAGATTTTATCTCCCTTCCCAATTTAAGCCTAATATTGGTTATGGGCCCAGCACTCAGCTTAAGCAGGTGAGGGGGGAAACGAGAGGAGATTTTCTCTCCCTTTCCAACTTAAGCCTAACAATGGTTATGGGCCCAGCACTTGGCTTAGACAGGTAAGGGGGGAAACGAAAGAGATACAAGCAATATATCAATTTCAAAGCAAAAACGGCTTGTGAGTGGTTATTTAATATTGCTATATAGATCCTACAGTCTTACAGCTTAAGCAGGTGAGGGGGAAAAGGAAAGGGCCTGAGGCCGTTAGGAATGGGGAGAGATACAAGCAATATATCAATTTCAAAGCAAAAACGGCTTGTGAGTGGTTATTTAATATTGCTTTATTGATCCTACAGTCTTACAGCTTAAGCAGGTGAGGCTGTTAGGAATGGTGGGAGTTGAAATCCAAATCACCCGGAGGGCCGAAGTTTGCCCATGCCTGCTTTAGGTGATTAAACATAAGAGTTCTTTATCCCTGTGTTGGCAACCAGTGTTGATTCAGCACAGGGATTTTGTTATTGTCCTCGCTACAACAAGACTTGTCTATTCAAAACACAAAACTAAACACTTAGCGTTGTGTCTTTCCCACTCCTTCCCTGCCCTCTCGCGCCGCGAAATCGCCGAAGGGACGCGTTTCAGGATACGACCAGTCTCTTTTTCAAAGTGAACGTGGAAAACAGCAGCATATAAACACCTCGCAGTGTCCCCAAAACCTTCCAAACCTCCCCTCGGTTAAAACTTGAACTTCTGGTGCACATGCAGCACGACAATGAAACACGCCTAGCATATAATTTAAAAAAGGAAACCAAAAAAAGGTGCAAAATGAAAGTGCCTTATCAATTCAACAATAAAAGCTATACCAGTAACTACGTTGTTTGTTTTTTTTATATTAATTAATTAATTAAAACAAATATATAAACAATATCTCTTTTGCTATATATAGACTTCATGCCCATTTACCCTGTAATAGATTATAATGCTATTGTTGCTATTGCTATGGAACCTTTTCATGCCATTCCGCCATTCTGGCAATCCACGGTCGGGTGAAAAGAAATCGTCCTTCATGAGACAATGAGCAAGTTGTGCAAAACCGACGCCGAGCGCCTCTGCAATTGCACACCCGTTGCTGGTTTCGAGCGGGAGATTCTGTTCTTTCTGACTAACGAAACATTGCTCTAAGTAAGTAGGAAAGTCTGCGGGCAGTGACTTACAAGGAAAAGGAAACCTCCTGATGTGGAGTACCCTCGATTCTGTGTAAACAGAGGTCAAAGACTGAGAAGTCGAGACAGAAATAAAAGGGTCCATATCGGTAGGCATCGCGGCAATCAGGCGCACGAGAAAACAAGTCCAACGCTCGTTTCGTTTTCCCTGACTCCGATCGCCAGAAGATGTGCAGTGTGTTGGCTCCCTAGGTGTCTACGCAGGGCCATTTAAAGTGTCTTGGTTTCTTTTGTTTTTGTTTTCCTCCCCCCCCCCCCCCATTTGTAAAGTTTCTACTTCAGACATTCTAGGAAGTGCTTAGGGAATACCTTTACCCATCCATCTGCATTGCTGGCTCAAATTCTGAAGTGAATAACTCCTTGTACAAGGGAGGAAAATGAAGTCGCACAATGTCTGGGTATATTGCTCTAAACGCCATGAGCTTCTCTGTATGTCGTCCACACAGCGCTCTCAGTGTCGACACTTTGCATATTAGCTGTAAAGGAGAAAAATGCAAAATTAATCAGATTTAATTTTTTTTACTTTAATCTTGTACTCTGAATAATAATAATAATAATAATAATAATAATAATAATAAGTCAGATCCCAAATGTAGACTCTGCAAGGAAGCAGATGAAATAATAATAATACGAGGGGTATTTTTTAAGTAAGGTCCGTTTTGTTGTAGACTCGCACTAGGGCTGGGCGGTTTCGTTCGTTACTTTCGTAATTCGTTAATAATTCGTATTTACAGTGGCTTACGATCTGATATTGAACCATTCAGGAGCAACTAAAAATCGAAACGAATTTTTAAAATTTATTTTGTAATTGTTTCGTAATTGTTTCGAAATTGTTTCGTTATTATTTCGTTATTATTTCCGTATGTCTGGTGCAAGTTTTATAGTTGTTTTTTGTTTTATCAGTGATAAAAAAATAAATTATCACACCAACAGTCAACAACAGAGGGAGAGGGAAGCTTCAGAAGTTCCCCCTGTCCCATTTGGAGGGTTTTTTAGCGTATTGCGCAATCGCGTCCGCCATTAATGAATCAATTCGTTATTGTTTCGAAATTGTTTCGTAATTTCTGAAATTTCGTAAATATCGAACTTTTTTAAAGAAAAAATTCGGAATTCTTTTAAAAAACGAAACGCAAAAACCCCCTAAAAACGAATCGAGTTTAGAAACAAATTTTTCCGTGGTTGCCCAGCCCTAGTTCGCACACATACTGCAACGAGCATGTGCATCATGTACCGGCATGCCTCGGGAACAATTGTGCTCAGTTTCCGCTCTGTAGCTAACCTGTACGGTTCTGTTCTGTGCTATAAAAATGTTTAAGACTATCAACTCACCCGCCACATGTGAGGTTCGCTCAGTGTTATGGTTTTTGTCAGCAAGGAACCTGCCTGCTGCAGAAATTCATCAACAGATTTGTGAAGTGTACGGTGATACTGTTATGAGTGAAAGCAAAGTGCGTAAGTGGGTACGACAATTCAAAGATGGCCGTGACAACGTCCATGATGGGGACCCGCTCCGGTCACCCTTCTTTGATTACAGTGAACTTTTGGGTTATCGGAGCAGGCGGCAAGTTTTTATGAAGAGGGTATTTTAAAATTGGTTCAGAGGTATGATAAGTGTTTGAACAAACTTGGCAACTATGTCGAAAATAGAGTGAAGTATGTACTTTCTGAAAATAAATTTACTTTTTTGAAATAAACTTTCATTGTGTACTTATGTTCCAACGGACCTTACTTAAAAAATACCCTTCGTAATAAATCTTGAAGAAAATAACATCTTGCCAGATGAACAGAAAGGTAACAAATGGAAAAGCAGTTATTAATTGGCAAAATGATTCTGGAGAACTGCCAAAAACCCAATCTTCACATGACCTGGATTGACTACAAAAAAGCCTTTGACTCATTCCCACATAGCCGGATCATCAAGTGCCTAGACACCATTGGGATTTGTAAAAATGTTGGTATTTTTATTGAAAATATGATGAAGCACTGGAAAAATGAACTGTTTGTTGGAAATGAAAACTATGGACTTGTCAACATCAGAAGAGGAATTTTCCAGGGAGACTCATTGTCCCCACTGCTTTTCAAAATTGCCATGATCCCTCTGTCAACAATCTTACAAAAAATAAACCTCGGCTATCACACATCTCAGAGAACTCACAAAATTTTACATCTGCTGTACATGGATGACCTCAAGCTGTATGGGAAAACCGAAACTGAAATCCAGTCTCTGACTAACACTGTTCGAATCTTTAGCATGGATATTAACATGGAGTTTGGTTTGGACAAATGTTCTACAGTGGCACTGCAAAGTTTCCAAGCAGACCTCACATCCTCTGAGGTTGCCTGCCATAGATGTGGGCGAAATGTCAGGAGAGAATGCTTCCAAAACATGGCCAGACAGCTCCATAAAACTCACAGCAACCCAATATAAAATGTTCTTATTAAAATATAATTACACAACTCCTGGACTTGAAAATCCTTTAAAACAGATCCATTAAAAGATAAAAAAGATATAAAACAAAGTAATTTACGATGGCGATGTGAAGGAGTGTGGCTAGAATACGGGCATTCAAAGTAATTCAGATTCTCCATATTTGCATATTGTTTTGTTTCCATTTTATTAGAGAGCTTATTGAAATTGATTGAGGTTGGTTGGAGAAGATCTGGAGTACGTGTCCCAAAACACACCTTAAGCAAAGTTTCGAGCACTATATTTAGGAAAGGGAACCTATATAATAATAATAATAATAATAATAATAATAATAATAATAATAATAATAATACTTTATTTATACCCCGCCACCATCTCCCCAAGGGACTCGGAGCGGCTTACTTGAGGCCAAGCCCAACAGTACATCCATAAACAAAAGCAATAAACAAAAACAATAAATACAAAACAATTAATATAAATCACATATAAACAACAACCAATAAACAGGGATTCTATATCTTTTACCTTTGTTAAGATTCCGTCTTCTCGGTGGTTCTTCTGCAACACGTGCTGAAGTGCTAACTGAATCTTCTGTTGCAGCTTTTCTATTTTTACCTTTTCCTGAAGCCATGATCGGTCTAAAAAAAGAGAAGAGCACAACATTTACATGGTTCATTCCTTCCTTTTTTCGCTCTTTCCTTCTTTCCTTCCCTCCCCCTCTCTTCTTTCCTCCTTCTTTCTCCCTCTTTCCTTCCTTTCCTTCCTTCCTTTCCTTCTCTTCTCTACTCTTTTCCTTCCTTTTTTCCTTCCCTCTTTTTCTCCTTTCTTCCTTCTCTACCTTTTCCTTCCTTCCTTCGCTCTTTCTTCTTCCTCCTCCTTTCCTTCCTTCTTCCCTCCTTCTTTCCTCTTTCCTTCCTTCCCTCCTTCCCTTCCTTTTCTTCTTTCCTTCCTTCCTTCTCTTCTTTCCTTCCTTCCCTTTCTTTTTCTTTCCCTTTCTCTCCTTCTTTCTTCTGCTCTTCCATTCTTTCCTTCCCTCCCTCTTTCTGTCCTTCTTTCCCTCCTTGCTTCACTCCCTCTTTCCTTCCTTCCTTCCTTTTTCTTCTTTCCTTCCTTCCTTCTCTACATCTTCAATTCCCTTTTCTTTTCCTTCCCTCTTTCTCTCCTTTCTTCCTTCTCCACCTCTTTCCTTCCTTCTTTTGCTCTTTCCTTCTCTCCCTCTTTCTGTCCTTCTTTCCCTTCTTGCTTCACTCCCTCTTTCCTTCCTTCCTTCCCTTTTCTTTTTTCTTCCTTCCCTTTTTCTTTACTTCTCTTCTTCCTTCCTTCCTTCCTTCCTTCCTTCCTTCCTTCCTTCCTTCCTACCTACCTACCTTTTTTTCCTCTTCCCTTTCCCCTTTTCCTTCTTCTTCTTTCTCTCCTTTCTTCCTTCTCTACCTCTTTCCTTCCTGCCTTCACTCTTTCTCTTTCCTTCCCTCTTTTTCTGTCCTTCTTTCCCTCCTTGCTTTGCTCCTCCCTTCCTCCCTTCTCTTTTCTTCTTTCCTTCCTTCCTTCTCTACATGTTTCCTTCCCTTTTCTTTTCCTTCCCTCTTTCTCTCCTTTTTCTTCTTCTCTACCTCTTTGCTTCCATGCTTCTCCCCCCACCTTTCTTTCTTTCTTTCTTTCTTTCTTTCTTTCTTTCTTTCTTTCTTTCTCCACTTCCTTTCCCTTTTTTCTGTATTGTCACTTAGCTTTTCATCATTTAGCTTTTTTGGGTTTTTAAGTCCCTTCCACTGTTTTTTTTTTTGGGGGGGGGGTTATGAATGATGGTCACTCGTTGGTCTGTTAGGGGTATAGTATCCAAATTTCATGTCAATTTGTCCAGTGGTTTTTGAGTTATGTTCATCCCACAAATGAACATTACATTTTTATTTATATAGATAATGATAATTGTGCCCATCTATGGCAGGGAAGCATACTCTCGCTAAAGTGGAAATCCTCCAATTAGGTAGGAAATGTCAATTTATGGAGACGACATTAAGAACTGGCATAAGGAGAAAAAGTTGGGCCATAATTGTGGAATGTCATCCAGTTATTATGAAAGAACAACATGAATGTGAACTGGGCTTCCCAGTGCAGAGCGAGAACAAACTGCAGAGTTGTATACTAGGCCTGGGTAACAACGGAAAAATTTGTTTCTAAAATCGATTTGTATTTGGGGTTTTTTTTTGTTTCGATATTTAAAATAATTACAAAATTTTCCCTTAAAAAAGTTCGATATTTACGAAATTTCGTAAATGGTAAAAAATTAACGAATCGATTTCCGAAACAATAACGAATCGATTCGTTAATGGCGGACGTGACCGCGAAATACGCTAAAAAACCTCCAAAAACTTCTGAAGCTTCCCTCTCCCTCTGTTGTTGACTGTTGGTGTGATATTATATATTTTTTTCACTAATTAAACCATAAAACTGGCCCAGACATGCGGAAATAATAACGAAACGACCTCAAAACAATAACGAAACGAACACAATAACGAAATACGAAGCATTTACAAAACTTATTTAAAAATTTGTTTTTTTAAATAATTGCTCCAGAATGGTTCGTTATCGTTTTGTAATTGAAAAAATTAACGAATTATTAACGAATTACGAATTAACGAAACGAAACCGCCCAGGCCTATTGTATACCATACCTGCCGAGAGTAAAACAAAAGCTGAAAACAATGCGATCTCATCTTCGGTAAGGTGCATAGAACATAAACTCTTCCCAAATTCAAAAACAAAACTAATGAAATCTTCACAACCTGCCAAAGGAAAAAAACAAGATTCGCTCAGATGTTTGTTTTTTTAAAGGATGGAACAATATTTAATTTTCGGAGAAAGCAGACGGGGAAAATGCATTGCCAGAAGTTGTATCTTCATGCTATAAGGGCAGCGCTAGTTGTAGTTTAATGCCAGCGATACTGCCCACAATAGTCTTATGGGTGGTTTATATAACCATATCTGCTAAGACGGTTGAGCAATGACCCCTCACAAACTCATACCCATGCCAACATAAAGGCAGATCAGATAGCACACCAACTCTTGAAGAATGGGAAACCCAACTTTGCCACCAAAGTAGGAAAGAAACCAATAGCCAGACAACCAGAGACTGAGAACAACAACCTTCATGAACCCTTTACATCTACTGAATTGGACATGGCTCTCAATAAAGGTAAGAATGGCAAAGCAGCTGGCCTGGATGGTCTATGGATGGAACAAATCAAGACTTTGTCCCAAAAGCAAGGCGCTGGCTGCTGGAGCTGATGAACAACTGCACTGCATCCGGTCAGATCCCCAAAATCTGGAGGAAAGCAAGTCATCGCCATCTTGAAGCCAGGCAAAGAACGTAATGACCAATCTCCCTGTTGTGCCACCTCTACAAAGTTCTGGAGATACTTATTTTGCATAGAATTATGCAAAAAATAGACCCCTGTCTGATTCCACAGCAAGCTGGCTTCAGGAAAGGCAGAAGCTGCACATCGCAAGTGCTGAACCTGACTCAGCACATAGAAGATGGCTTTGAAAGGCAGCAGATCACAGGAGGTGTCTTCATAGACCTGTCAGCAGCCTATGATACTGTGAACCACCGCCTCCTCCTGAGAAAAATGTATAATATCACAAAGGACTACCACCTCACCCGCCTCATAGGAAACCTGCTACAAAACAGGAGCTTTTTTGTTGAGTTCCAGGGCCAGAGAAGCAGATGGCGGAAACAGAAGAACGGCCTGCCTCAGGGGAGCGTGCTTGCTCCATCCATGTTCAACATCTACACCAATGACCAGCCACTGCCAGAAGGGACAGAGAGTTTCATCTATGCTGATGATCGTGCCATCATCACTCAAGCAAGGAGTTTTGAAATGGTTGAACAGAAGCTCTCCGAAGCTCTAGCTGCTCTTACTGCCTATTACAGGGAAAACCAGCTGATCCCTAATCCATCTAAAACACAGACGTGTGCTTTTCATCTCAAGAACAGACAAGCATCCCGAGCTCTGAGGATGATGACCTGGGAAGGAAGGAATCCCACTGGAGCATTGCAGCGCACCCAAATACCTGGGAGTCACTCTGGACCGTGCTCTGACCTACAAGAAGCACTGCTTGAACATCAAGCAAAAAGTGGCGCTAGAAACAATATCATACGAAAGCTGACTGGCACAACCTGGGGATCACAACCAGACACAGTGAAGACATCTGCCCTTGCGCTATGCTACTCTGCTGCTGAGTATGCATGCCCAGTGTGGAACACATCTCTCCACGCTAAAACAGTGGATGTGGCTCTTAATGAGACATGCCGCATTATCACGGGGTGTCTGCGCCCTACACCACTGGAGAAATTACACTGCTTAGCCGGTATTGCACCACCTGACATCCGCCGGGAAGTAGCAGCCAATAGTGAAAGGACCAAGGCAGAGACACCTCCAGCTCATCCCCTGTTTGGGTATCAGCCAGCACGTCAACGACTTAAATCAAGAAATAGTTTTCTAAGATCTACAGAGACACTCGCTGGAACACCTCAGCAAGCGAGAGTCCAAAAGTGGCAGGCTCAAACCCAGCACCTCAATCCATGGGTGATACCAGATGAGAGACTCCCCCTGGGCACACAGAAGACTGGGCGACTTGGAAGGCGCTGAACAGACTGCGCTCTGGCACCACGAGATGCAGAGCCAACCTTCAGAAATGGGGCCACAAAGTGGAATCCACGACATGCGAGTGTGGAGAAGAGCAAACCACTGACCACCTGCTGCAATGCACCCTGAGCCCTGCCACATGCACAATACATAGCGTACTTATTTACATCCATTTAAATCCCAGTTAGTTAGTGAAAAATCTATTCGGCAGCTTGCTCACAAAACCCATTTATTGTAAGAAATTAATTTTGAGCAAATAGTTGTGTGTTTTTTTTTCTCAAGCAGGTTTTCCAATTAAGTACTCCATTTCCTTACCTAATGACTTGAATACATCAGGGCTGGCGTATTTGCCATCAAAGTACACTGTGTTGTTCTGGGAGTCGAAGGCACGGCACATTCGGATAAACACAACCTCTAAAGACCCTAAACACAAAGAAGAAACAGTTTTCAACATTGAGAATGAGGAACATTGCAGTGGGTTTGGGGTTTGGAAAATCAAATTATCTTTTTAATAATAGGTGGTTATGCAGTCCTTATATATAATATATATACTAGCTGTGCCCTGCCACGCGTTGCTGTGGCCTAAAATAAAAATTTTCAAAGTAGAGGTAGATATCTGGACTATTATGAAAGAGAGGTACCTACCTATTCCTTCCCCCCCTTTTTCTTCCCCTTTCTCTCCTTTCGTCCTTCTCTACCTCTTTTTTTCATTCCTTCTTTTGCTCTTTGGTTTCATCCTTCCTGCGCTCTTTTCTTCCTTTTTTCCCCCTTTCTCTACTTTTTCCTTTGTCTCCTTTCTTCCCTCCGTGTTTCCTTCCTTCTTTCACTTTTTATTTCCTTTTCTCCTTCCTTCTTTACTTCTTTCCTGCATTTCCTTTTTCTTTCCTTTTTTACTTTTCCTCTTCCTTCCTTTGGTACTTCTTTCTTTCCTTCCTTCTCTCCTTCCTTCCCTCCTTCCTTCTTTCCCTCCCTCCTTCTCTCTTTCCTTCCTTCCCTCCCCTTTTCCCTCCTTCCTTCCTTCCCTTTTCCCTCCCTCCTTTCTTCTCTCCTTCCTTCCCTCTTTCCCTCCCTCCTTCTCTCTTTCCTTCCCTCCCCTTTTCCCTCCTTTCTTCTCTCCTTCTTCCCTCTTTCCCTCCCCCTTCTCTCTTTCCTTCCTTCCCCCTTTCCCTCCTTCCTTCCCTTTTCCTCCCTCCTTCTTCTCTCCTTCCTTCCTCTTTCCTCCCTCCTTCTCTCTTCCTTTCCTCCCCCTTTCCCCTCCTTCCTCCTTCCCCTTTTCCCTCCCTCCTTTCTTCTCTCCTTCCTTCCCTCTTTCCCTCCCTCCTTCTCTCTTTCCTTCCTTCCCCCTTTCCTCCTTCCTTCCTTCCTTTTTCCTCCCTCCCTCCTTCTCTTCCTTCATTCCCTCTTTCTCTCCCTCCTTCTCTCTTTCCTTCCTTCCCCCTTTCCTTCCTTCCTTCCTTCCTTCCTTCCTTCCTTCCTTCCTTCCTTCCCCCTTTCCCTCCCTCCTTTCTTCTCTCCTTCCTTCCTCTCTGTTCTCCCCCAATACCATAGTAGAGTCCCTTCTAAGTCTACTCTATGAGTCTACTTAATATAGTAATATATAGTAGTAACATTATATTATATAGTAGTTTCCAACACATCTCACAACTTCTGGGGATGCTTGCCACGTATGTGGGCGAAACATGCTGGGTTTAGAATTACTTTCAGAGAGGCAATTCTGTTAGTAAATTCAGTGGAGGGAGAGGGAAGTGTTCCTGTGTAACTAAGTCTGAACTGCTTAAAGTAACCACATGCTTTTTAAATCAGTACTTTGAAACAGCTAAGCTTTATGCCTGAATTGTTCCAGTTCTCTTAAATAAACATCATTGTTCACAACATCTGCCTCACGTGTGCCTCTGTGGGTGAAGTTTTAAAAGTAGTTTCCTGAAGCAAACAGGAGACTAATGATGGCAGCGTATAATTTAAAGAACAATCTTTTAGAGTTACCTCAGAACGCAAGCTTAAGGGCTAGTCCTACACACTCTTGCCTAAGATACTTCCAGTAAGCCAAGGGCTTATCAGTGCTTTTAAGTTGGTGGTGGCCGGAGGGTTCTTTCATAAGGTTTTCGGCTTTCCTTACAGCTTCTTTATTTTGGGCTTTTAAAACATGGGCTGCTGTAGGTTTTTTCAGGCTATATGGAAATGTTCTAGAGGCATTCTCTCCTGACGTTTCGCCTGCACCTATGGCAAGCATCCTCAGAGGTAGTGAGGTCTGTTGGAACTAGGAAAATGGGGTTTATATATCTGTGGAATGACCAGGGTGGGACAAAGGACTTTTGTCTGTTGGAGCTAGGTGTGAATGTTTCAACTGACCACCTTGATTAGCATTTAATGGCTTGGAAGTGCCTGGGGGAATCTCTTGTTGAGAGGTGATTTGCTCCTTTTCATTTTACTTTATATGACTGTATTGCAAATGTTATGTTTGAGAGCGGTTGCTCCTTTTTATTTCACTTTATGTGAATATACTGAACTATGTACTGAATATTATATACTTTATGCACCGTGAGTATTCTTATTGTTACATAGATTATGTTGTGTATTTTAACAACTTAAAGCAGGCACGGGCAAACTTCGTCCCTTCAGGTGTTTTGGACTTCAAAAGAAAAAAAATGGGTTGTTGTTGGTTTTTTCGGGCTATATGGCCATGTTCTAGAGGCATTCTCTCCTGACGTTTTGCCTGCATCTATGGCAAGCATCCTCAGAGGTATATAAAAACTGCTTAAAGTCTGAACTGCTTAAAGTAACCACACACTTTTTAAGTCAATACTTTGAAACAGCTAAGGTTTATACCTGAATTGTTCCAGTTCTCTTAAATAAACATTGTTTTGTTGTTCACAACATCTGCCTCACGTGTGCCTCTGTGGGTGAAGTTTTAAAAGTAGTTTCCTGAAGCAAACAGCAGACTAATGATGGCAGCGTATAATTTAAAGAAGAATCAGAAACACAAGCCTGAGGGCTAGTCCAACATACTCTTGCCTAAGATACTTCCAGTAAGCCAAGGGCTTATCAATGCTTTTAAGTTGGTGCTCTTTCATAAAGTTTTCGGCCAGAAAAAAGTTCCGGCTTTCCTTACAGCTTTTTTATTTTGGGCTTTTAAAACATGGACGCCACATTCATTTCTAAGTGGTGTTCTGCCTTTTTGGGGGATTTTTATTCCTCCCAATTAAGCCCCCACCTGTTATACGTGACATGCAAGGAAATGATTGGCTATAGTTCAAACTGGCACAAAAACTTCATATTTGCAACCCATATTTGCAATCCAGAACTGGTTAGCAAGGAAATCTCTTTGAACGCCTACATACCTGCTTTTAAAAGCACGATTTGATCGTTTTGACACAGTTCCATAAAGCCATCGATGCGTTTGGCAAACTCCACAACGTACTGTATTGCTTCTGTGATTTTCACCGCACACAATTGCCACATGACTTCCCTCTGCTGTTAAGAGAGAAAAAAAACGAGAGGCTGCTATTCCAGGTTTGCAAAGACTTTCTTGAAAGAGGAAATTCAAAAGCAAAACAAAGCTCGTGCCCAATGGCAGGGACAAGGATAAGCATCGGGATTGTGGGGCAGCTGGCTGAGTGTCAGTTGCATTAAAGATCACTCTGACCAAAAGGTCATGAGTTCAAAGCCAACCCGGGTTGGAGTGGGTTTCCAACCAATTGAGTGTAGCCTGTTGTCGACCTTTGCAACCCGAAAGACAGTTGCATCTGTCAAGTAGGAAAATTAGGTACCACCTTAAAGTGTGGGGAGGCTAAATTAGCTAATTTATGAGGCCATAAAGAAGACTCCAGCAAAGCATTCCAGCGGGGAAGCATGCGGGGAACGCGGAAGTGCTTCATCAGCGTCGCAGATGGACGATGAAAGCGACAGCTCCCCTGGCGGCCAGAAAAGGTTAAATAGCCTCTGTGTATGTCTGTATATGTTTGTATGTCAAAAAATTGGCATTGAATGTTTGCCATATATGTGTACACTGTAATCCGCCCTGAGTCCCCTGCGGGGTGAGGAGAAGGGCGGAATAGAAAAGCTGTAAACAAACAAACAAATAAATAAAAATGCATGGTTATCCAAATTATTTCAGCTCTGACAAGTCAAAAAGCTATTGCTGATGGTTGTATTGGTTGTCTCTATCTAGCTCAGTGTTTCTCAACCTACCAAATGCCACGACCCCTTAATACAGTCCCTCAGGTTGTGGTTTATTTATGTATTTATTTATTTATCTATCATGTCAGGAGCAAACCAAACAATTGTATTGCATTTTTTAACAAACAAACAAACAAACAAACCACAAAGTTTGCAAGCTTGGTAGTTGATTAAATGTCCTTTGACCAGTATCTGGCCACTTGGAGTGCCTCTGGTGTTACTATAAGCCAGCACCCTGGACTGTTCTCTGACCTACAAGAAGCACTGCCTGAACATCAAGCAAAAAGTGTGTGCTAGAAACAATATCATACGAAAGCTGACTGGCACAACCTGGGGATCACAACCAGACATAGTGAAGACATCTGCCCTTGCGCTATGCTGCTCTGCTGCTGAGTACGCATGCCCAGTGTGGAACACATCTCACCACACTAAAACAGTGGATGTGGCTCTTAATGAGACATGCCGCATTATCACTAGGTGTCTGAGCCCTACACCACTGGAGAAATGACACTGCTTAGCCGGTATTCCACCACCTGACATCCGCCGGGAAGTAGCAGCCAATAGTGAAAGGACCAAGGCAGAGACATCTCCAGCTCATCCCTTGTTTGGGTATCAGCCAGCACGTCAACGACTTAAATCTAGAAATAGTTTTCTAAGATCTACAGAGACACTCACTGGAACACCTCAGCAAGCGAGAGTCCAAAAGTGGCAGGCTCAAACCCAGCACCTCAATCCATGGGTGATACCAGATGAGAAACTCCCTCCTGGGCACTCAGAAGACTGGGTGACTTGGAAGGCGCTGAACAGACTGCGCTCTGGCACCACGAGATGCAGAGCCAACCTTCGGAAATGGGGCCACAAAGTGGAATCCACGACATGCGAGTGCGGAGAAGAGCAAACCACTGACCACCTGCTGCAATGCACCCTGAGTCCTGCCACATGCACAAGGGAGGGCCTTCTTGGCGGCAACACCTGAGGCACTCCAAATGGCCAGATACTGGTCAAAGGACATCTAATCAACTACCAAATTCACAAATTTTGTATTTTGTCTGTTTGTTTGCTTTGTTCTGTTAGAAATGTAATATAATTGACTGGTTGCCCTGACACGAGAAATAAATAAAATAGCATTTTCATTACATACCTTGCTCTGGTAGTTCTCAATCTCTTCCTGTAGAAAGGTTTGCCATGTTATCTGCTGCAGCTCCTCCCTCAAGTACTGGCAGGTTTCCATGTGTGATTTGGAAATGTTCTGTGCAAGATGTTCTAAGGCAGAGAAGGAACAAGAAACGGCAGGCATTAACAAAAAAAAGGGTGACCCACAGCTACTTTTGCACATGTTCTCTCTAGCCAGCCATTAAACCACAAATGTTTACAGCAGTCAGAATGCATAGTAATAAAATTCAGCTCTAATATACATTTCTACTTCCGGGTTGTTGTAGGTTTTTTTCGGGCTATATGGCCATGTTCTAGAAGCATTCTCTCCTGATGTTTCGCCTGCATCTATGGGAGGCATCCTCAAAGGTAGTGAGGTCTGTTGGAACTAGGAAAATTGGGTTTATATATCCGTGGAATGACCAGGATGGGACAAAGAACTCTTGTCTGTTGGAGCTAGGACTGATTGTGTTGTAGGTTTTTTCGGGCTGTACGGCCATGGTCTAGAGGCATTCTCTCCTGACGTTTTGCCTGTATCTATGGCAAGCATCCTCAGAGGTTGTGAGGTCTGTTGGAACTAGGAACATTGGGTTTATATATCTGTGGAATGGCCAGGGTGGGACAAAGACCTATTGTCTGTTGGAGCTAGGTGTGATTGTGTCAACCGACCACCTTGATTAGCATTTAATGACCTGGCAGTGCCTGGGGCAATCTTTTGTTGAGAGGTGATTACTGTCCCTGATTGTTTCCTCTTTGTTGTTTTGCTGTTGCAAATTTTTGGGCTGTCTGGCCATGTTCCAGAAGTATTCTCTCCTGACGTTTCACCTGCATCTATGGCGAGCATCCTCAGAGGTTGGATCTAGGAAAATTGGGTTTATATATCCGTGGAATGACCAGGGTGGGACAAAGGACTCTTGTCTGTTGGAGCAAGGTGTGATTGTGTTGTATGTTTTTTTGGGCTGTATGGCCATGGTCTAGAGGCATTCTCTCCTGACATTTCACCTGCATCTATGGCAAGCATCCTCAGAGGTAGTGAGGTCTGTTGGAACTAGGAACATTGGGTTTATATATCCTTGGAATGACCAGGGTGGGACAAAGAACTCTTGTCTGTTGGAGCTAGGTGTGATTGTGTCAACTGACCACCTTGATTAGCATCTGATGGCCTGGCAGTGCCTGGGGCAATCTTTTGTTGAGAGGTGATTAGCTGTCCCTGATTGTTTCCTCTTTGTTTTGCTGATGCTAATCGAGGCCATCACTTGCCTCCAACAGATCAGTTAACACTTCCCAATAAAGGATTCCCCCAGGCAGGAAGCAGCCAGGCTTTGAAGCTGCAAGGCTATTCAATGCTAATCGAGGCCATCACTTGCCTCCAACAGATCAGTTAACACTTCCCAATAAAGGATTCCCCCAGGCAGGAAGCAGCCAGGCTTTGAAGCTGCAAGGCTATTCAATGCTAATCGAGGCCATCACTTGCCTCCAACAGATCAGTTAACACTTCCCAATAAAGGATTCCCCCAGGCAGGAAGCAGCCAGGCTTTGAAGCTGCAAGGCTATTCAATGCTAATCGAGGCCATCACTTGCCTCCAACAGATCAGTTAACACTTCCCAATAAAGGATTCCCCCAGGCGGGAAACAGCCAGGCTTTGAAGCTGCAAGGCTATTCAATCAAGGCCATCACTTGCCTCCAACAGACCAGTTAACACTTCCCAATAAAGGATTCCCCCAGGCAGGAAGCAGCCAGGCTTTGAAGCTGCAAGGCTATTCAATGCTAATCGAGGCCATCACTTGCCTCCAACAGATCAGTTAACACTTCCCAATAAAGGATTCCCCCAGGCAGGAAGCAGCCAGGCTTTGAAGCTGCAAGGCTATTCAATGCTAATCGAGGCCATCACTTGCCTCCAACAGATCAGTTAACACTTCCCAATAAAGGATTCCCCCAGGCAGGAAGCAGCCAGGCTTTGAAGCTGCAAGGCTATTCAATGCTAATCGAGGCCATCACTTGCCTCCAACAGATCAGTTAACACTTCCCAATAAAGGATTCCCCCAGGCGGGAAACAGCCAGGCTTTGAAGCTGCAAGGCTATTCAATCAAGGCCATCACTTGCCTCCAACAGACCAGTTAACACTTCCCAATAAAGGATTCCCCCAGGCAGGAAGCAGCCAGGCTTTGAAGCTGCAAGGCTATTCAATGCTAATCGAGGCCATCACTTGCCTCCAACAGATCAGTTAACACTTCCCAATAAAGGATTCCCCCAGGCAGGAAGCAGCCAGGCTTTGAAGCTGCAAGGCTATTCAATGCTAATCAAGGCCATCACTTGCCTCCAACAGATCAGTTAACACTTCCCAATAAAGGATTCCCCCAGGCAGGAAGCAGCCAGGCTTTGAAGCTGCAAGGCTATTCAATGCTAATCAAGGCCATCACTTGCCTCCAACAGACCAGTTAACACTTCCCAATAAAGGATTCCCCTAGGCAGGAAGCATCCAGGCTTTGAAGCTGCAAGGCTATTCAATGCTAATCGAGGCCATCACTTGCCTCCAACAGATCAGTTAACACTTCCCAATAAACGATTCCCCCAGGCAGGAAGCAGCCAGGCTTTGAAGCTGCAAGGCTATTCAATGCTAATCGAGGCCATCACTTGCCTCCAACAGATCAGTTAACACTTCCCAATAAAGGATTCCCCCAGGCAGGAAGCAGCCAGGCTTTGAAGCTGCAAGGCTATTCAATGCTAATCAAGGCCATCACTTGCCTCCAACAGACCAGTTAACACTTCCCAATAAAGGATTCCCCTAGGCAGGAAGCATCCAGGCTTTGAAGCTGCAAGGCTATTCAATGCTAATCGAGGCCATCACTTGCCTCCAACAGATCAGTTAACACTTCCCAATAAAGGATTCCCCCAGGCAGGAAGCAGCCAGGCTTTGAAGCTGCAAGGCTATTCAATCAAGGCCATCACTGTACTGTCAAAGGCTTTCATGGCCGGAATCACTGGGTTGCTGTAGGTTTTTTCAGGCTATATGGCCATGGTCTAGAGGCATTCTCTCCTGACGTTTCGCCTGCATCTATGGCAAGCATCCTCAGAGGTTGTGAGGTCTGTTGGAAGTAGGAAACAGCACAACAACAGCACAACAACAGAGAGGAAACAAACAAGGACATCTAGTCACCTCTCAACAAAAGTTTGCTCTAGTCACTGTTAGGCCATCAAATGCTAATCAAAGTGGTCAGTTGAAACATTCACACCTAGCTCCAGCAGGCAAGAGTCCTTTGTCCCACTTTGGTCATTCCGCGGATATATAAACCCTTTTTCCTAGTTCCAACAGACCTCACTAGCTCTGAGGATGCTTGCCACAGATACAGGCGAAACGTCAGGAGAGAATGCCTCTAGAACATGGCCATATAGCCTGGAAAAACCTACAACAACCCAGTAACACTTTCTCATTACTTTATTTTCCAGATCACCAGACTGGGCCACATCAATGCGTGGCAGGGGACAGCTAGTAATAATAATATAATATAATATAATATAATATAATATAATATATAATGTAATACAATATAATACTACAAATAATAATACAATATTATAATTATATATTTATATTACATGTACAATATTATAATTATATAATATTATTATATTATATAATTAAATTATATAATATTATTATATAATCAATAATACAATAATTATATATTTATATTACTAATAATATTACCATATAATGGTATAGCACAATATAGGAATATTTAATACTGATATTGTACTATGCTAATAACACAATATATTGTATGTATTTTTTTGCCCCGTGATTTAGTGCTGTCTGGAAGCGCCCTGTATTGCCAAAAAGAGCATGGGCAAACTTGGGCCCTCCGGGGGTTTTGGACTCCAACTCCCACAATTCCTAACAGCCGGTAGGCTGTTAGGAATTGTGGGAGTTGGAGTCCAAAACTCCCGGAGGGCCCAAGTTTGCCCACGCCCGGTGTAAACAGCGATAAACTCAAAGATGACATGGGTTCCCCTCCCCGCCTTTGACGATTACCTAATTCTGCCATGGACACAGTAGGAGAAGTCTCTCCGTTTGTGAAAGAGCAATACGGAAAGAAGCCCGACGCTGGTGTGTAGTCACATATTGGTTCTGGTTTGATGCCATTAATATCAAGCCCCGACTGGTCTGGAGAAGGCTGTATGTCTAAGTAGAAACTGCTAACGGCAGAGTCTGCTTTGCTACCTTCAGGGGTATGCCCATCAATGTAATTACTGAGGTCGTCGTGCAGTTCGGTGAGCCCGTTGGGGGTGATGCTGTAGGTGGGCGTCAAGGGCTCGGCCTCTCCGGGCTGCTGTTGGTGGTCGCGCTGTTGCTGCTGCAGCCGGTGCTTCTGCACTTCTGCGTACAAGCTGTCCCTCTGCTTTTTGGACATTCGGCCAAACTTTACAGCTGAAATACACGCACAAGCGTTACATTGGGTTACCACGCATCACATAAAGCACCGCGGAGATTAAGGTCTTCCACTCTCAGTCCCGCCACCATCACAGGCGCGTTTGGCGGGGACAAGAGACAGGGTTTAAAGCAGTGGTTCTCAACCTTGCTAATGCCATGACCCCTTAATGCAGTTCGCTATGTTGTGGTGACCCCCAACCATAATATTGTTTTCATTGCTACTTGATACAGGTTAATTCTGAAAGGGAGGACAGTTATTCTATCTATACATATAAAAAAAGTCAATGTTTGTATGTGGCGGAAGTGTGGCGGTGCAACCGGGTATGTGCCAGCTTTCTGATTGGCTGCCACTGTGGTGCTATTTGCATATGGTCTCTGATTGGCCAGCTGCAACAGGAGCCCCTGGTGGAGAAAAGGGTTCATGACAGAAACTGAGACATGAGAGAAGGAAATTTGCATATGGTCTCTGATTGGCCAGCCTCAATTCCAAGATTCCGAGATGACAAAGAGAGGAAAGGAAGAGGCCAGGGGAGGCGGAGTTAGAAAATTACCAATACAGACCAAACTTGGCACACAGAGCCCCCATGACCCACTCTACATCCTACTGCAGTTTGGAGGAGGATGAACCATGGATGATGGGACTTGCAGTACCATCACTCACATTCTGAGACCGCTGTTAACCTCATCCAATGACTGATCAGGACCAAACTTGGCACATAGACCTCTCATGACCCATTTATGTCCTGGTGCGGTTTGGCCAGGGATGGACCATGGATTATGGGACTTGCAGTACCTTTGCTCAACTCTTGAGACCACTGCAACCCTCATCCAATTACCGATACAGACCAAACTTGGCACACTGAGTCTCCATGACGCACTCTACATCCTGGTGCAGTTTGGAGGAGGATGCACCATGGACGATGGGACTTGCAATACCTGCACTCTCTTCCTAAGACCATTACAACTGCCAACAATGATGGATCAGGACCACAATTTACACAGAGAGCCGCATGACCCACTCTACATCCTGGTGCGGTTTGGAAGAATTTGACAATGGATGATGGGACTTGCAGTCACTTCACTCACTTCCTGAGACCACTGAGAACCTCGCCAATGACTGATCAAGACCAAACTTGGCACACCCCATGACCCACTCTACATCCTGTGCACTTTCAAGGAGGACAGACCATGGATGATGGGACTTCAAGTACCTCCACTCCCTTCCCAAGACTGCTGCAACCCTCGTCTAATGTCCGATCAAAACCAAACTTGGCACACAGAGCCCCCACGACCCACTCTACATTCTGATGCTGTTTGGAGAAGGACGGACGATGGATGATGGGAGTTCCAGTACCTTCACTCACTTCCTGAAACCACAGCAACACTTACCCAAATACCAAGAAAGACCAAACTTGGCACAAAGTGCCCCCTTGGCCAACTCAACATTCTGGTGAGGTTTTGGGGAGAACAGACTATGGATGATGGGACTTGCAGTACCTAAACTCACTTTCTGAGACCACTGTGACCCTCATCCAATGATTGATCAAGACCAAACTTGGCACACAGAGCCCCCACGATCCACTCTCCATTCTGGTGCAATTTGGAGGAGGATGGACCACAGATTATGGGACTCACAGTACCTTCACTAACTTCCTGAGACCACTGCGAGCTATATAAATAACTGATAAAGACCAACCTTGATACACAATTCCTTTCTCAAATAACCCGGGCAGCGCTGGGTCCAGAAGCTAGTAACATAATAACAACACTTTATTTGTATCCCGCTACCATCTGCCCAAGGGACTCGGTGCGGCTTACATGAGGCCGAGCCCGAATACAACAATACAAGCAAAACAACAACAGTACAAGCAATTAAAATAAAACATAGACAATAAAATATACAACATTATAAATAAGACAACACGCAATTAAAAACAGTGGGAAGGCCAAATGTAAAGTTAAAATGGAAATAATGCTGGGACATGGACGAAAGGTGATAGTGGCGTTTGTGGAAGGGCATACGAGCAGATCTAAAAAGTGCTATGGGATCATTATTCCAGGAAGGCACACTGGAACAACCACATCTTCAAGCTCCTCCTAAAGACTGCCAAAGTTGGGACCTGTCTGATGTCTTTAGGGAGTGAGTTCCAGAGTCGAGGGGCCATCACTGAAAAGGCCCTCTCTCTCGTCCCCACCAACCGTGCCTGCGATGCTGGTGGGATCGAGAGCAGGGCCTCCCCGGAAGATCGAAGGGATCGCGTGGGTTCGTATACAGAGATGCGGTCACGCAGGTAGGCGGGTCCCAAACTTCTCGTTTCAACCAAGGGGCTTGCATTTGTTTGCCTGGATTATCTTACAGTTTTCATGTTCACGGTTTCAGGACTTTGTCATGTTTCATGGGACTTTGCCTTGCGGGCGCGACTGGTGGGTACGAGGGAGAGGGCCTTCTCGGTGGTGGCCTCTCGACTCTGGAACTCACTCCCCAAGGACAGCAGGCATGCCCCAACTCTGGCAGTCTTTAGGAGGAGCCTGAAAACGTGGTTGTTCCAGTGTACCTTCCCAGAATAAGGAAAATCCTAGCAATATGTCCTTTAATGCACTTTATTAGTGATCTAGGACTGTCTGCATGCCTCATCCCTCTCCGAAAACTCTATCGTAGTCATATTTCACCTGTTCATGCTCAGCGTTATTTTTAAAATTTTAATTATTATATTTGGCCCAGCCATAGGTCTTTTAAACGTTGTTGTGTTACTGTAAATGTTTATTGCTTATTTTTTGTATTGTGGGCTCGGCCTCATGTAAGCCGCACCGAGCCCCTTGGGAGATGGTAGCTGTGCTGGTACGGCTGTACCAGGAGCTCCGACTTTATTTGCTTTGTATCAAATGTTTCCTTGCAGCCAGGGATTCTGCAGCTAGGTGACTTCCTTTGGTTGCAGTGATAGGGCAAGTCACCTGTCCATCATTGTTAAGTTTTGGTTCCGCCCCTTGCTCAGGGCGATTGGGAAAGGAAGGGAGCCATTTTTAGTTAGTCTCAGCAAGGAAAGCTAGTGTACAGGACGTGTGCAAGCTTCCCCTGTACAAAAGTTTCAACTTTTAAGCATTCCCAAAGCTTTGAAGACTTTCCGGGGAAGAACAGCCCTAAAGACCAAAGAACTCCAGATGGAGAACATCTAAGCCTTTACTGGTAGGTCCACTCGGTTCTTTGAGACGCAGTTCGACTCGGTAGTGGAGTCCACATCAGTAAGGGTTAGATTACAGTCAGCCTGGGAGAAGTTAAAAAGGGGATTTTCCTTTAAAGTAAAGAAGAAGTTATTGAAGACAGTTGCCTGTCCTTCGTGGGCAAGATTAGGAAGTCACCAGTTGCATAAAGCCTGGAAGCATTTGTTTAACCCTTTGAAGACAAGAGAAGTTTCTGTTTGATTGTTCATTAATAAAAGACTTTGTTATACGAGGGGTATTTTTTAAGTAAGGTCCGTTTTGTTGTAGACACTAGTAGTTTGCGCGCATACCGCAACGAGCGGGTGCGTCATGTACTGGCATGCCTCGGGAACAACTGTGCTCAGTTTCCGCTCTGTAGCTCACCTGTACGGTTCTGTTCTGTGTGCTTTAAAAATGTTTAAGACTCTCAACTCACCCTCCGCATGTGAGGTTCGCTCGCTTCAACTGAAGCCACCAAATCGTCTGTAATCAAAGAAGTGCGACTGGAGCAGTCCTCATCATGGACGTTGTCACGGCCATCTTTGAATTGTCGTACCCACTTACGCGCTTTGCTTTCACTCATAACAGTATCACTGTACACTTCACAAATCCGTCGATAAATTTCTGCAGCAAGCAGGCTCCTTGCTGACAAAAACCGTATCACTGAGCGAACCTCACATGCGGAGGGTGAGTTGAGAGTCTTAAACATTTTTAAAGCACAGAACAGAACCGTACAGGTGAGCTACAGAGCGGAAACTGAGCACAGTTGTTCCCGAGGCATGCCAGTACACGACGCACACGTTCGTTGCGGTATGTGCGCGAACTATTAGTGTCTACAACAAAACGGACCTTACTTAAAAAATACCCCTCGTATAACAAAGTCTTTTATTAATGAACAATCAAACAGAAACTTCTCTTGTCTTCAAAGGGTTAAACAAATGCTTCCAGGTTTTATCATTGACAGATTTGTGAAGTGTACGGTGATACTGTTATGAGTGAAAGCAAAGTGCGTAAGTTGGTACGACAATTCAAAGATGGCCGCGACAACGTCCATGACGAGGACCACTCCGGTCGCCCTTCTTTGATTACAGACGATTTGGTTATCAGAGCAGGCGGCAAGTTTTTATGAAGAGGGTATTTTAAAATTGGTTCAGAGGTATGATAAGTGTTTGAACAAACTTGGCAACTATGTCGAAAAATAGAGTGAAGTATGTACTTTCTGAAAATAAATTTACTTTTTTGAAATAAACTTTCATTGTGTACTTATGTTCAAACGGACCTTACTTAAAAAATACCCCTCGTATTTCACAAGCCCTCTTAAGACTGTTTGTGGTGGAAAATTCCTAAGAGCTTCTCTTTGGGCCCCCTGGCTTCCCACTGGGCAAAGGTTGCACGTCCTGTTTTAAAGACAATTCTTTACAGGCCCAGCGCATGACAGAACAGTAGCGCGGTATATAATAATAATAATAATAATAATAATAATAATAATAATAATAATAATAATTAGGGCTGTGCGGTTTCGTTTGTTAATTTCGTAATTCGTTATTAATTCGTTATTTTTTTGATAACGAAGCGATATTGAACCATTCAGGAGCAACTAAAAATCGAAACGACTTTTTCAATTTGTTTCGTAATTGTTTCGTAATCGTTTCGTAATTGTTTCGTAATCGTTTCGAAATCGTTCGTTATTATTTCCGCATGTCTGGTGCAAGTTTTATAGTTGTTGTTTGTTTTATCAGTGAAAAAAATATATAATTATCACACCAACAGTCAACAACAGAGGGAGAGGGAAGCTTCGGAAGTTCCCCCTGTCCCATTTGGAGGTTTTTTTAGCGTATTGTGCGGTCGCCATTAACGAATCGATTCGTAATCGTTTCGTAATTTACGAAATTTCGTAAATATCGAACTTTTTTAAAGAAAAATTTCGGAATTCTTTTAAAAAACGAAAACGCAAAAAACCCCTAAAAACGAATCGAGTTTAGAAACAAATTTTTCCGTGGTTACCCAACCCTAATAATAATAATTATTATATACCCCGCTACTGTTCTGTCGTGCGCTGGGCCTGTAAAGAATTGCTATTATTATTATTATTATTATTATTATTATTATTATTATTATTATTATTATTTGTTGGCTTCCACATACAGAGTTCGTTTCATCACATGACATTCTGTGGGTAATGTGGTATATGCCTTGTTCTTGTCCACCAGAAACCCTGAAAAATCACTAGGTGGGTCAACCTAACATACATTTGATGACTTATGCGGTGCAGAATATTTTAAAAATGGAATGAATTTATCCAAAGCTAAGGAGTGCTGCACATACAAGACAGCTGGACCCAGCCAGTAAAGCTCACCATCTCGAGACATCCCCACAGCGAGGCATTTCTGTAACCGACAGTGTTGGCAACGGTTTCTACTTGTCCGATCGATTAAACAGTTTTTCTGACGGGGACAGGAGTACGTGGCGTTGCTTTGCTGACTCCGCCTGAAGAAACCCTGCAGGGTAAGGACAAAAGGCAAGAGGAAGACGCATTACGGGCTGCTTCCAAAGCTACTGCAACACCATCTGAAAGAGACACATTGCGCATCTATAAAAATGTAACGTTCGTTTGTGGGATTAACAGAACTCAAAAACCACTGGACGAATTGACACCAAATTTGGACACAATACACCTAACAGTCCAACGAGTGTCCATCACCCATAAATGTACACGCACACAAAAAACCCCAGTGGAACTGACTTAAAAATCCAAAAAATACACCATATATATATATACGTAACACTCATATACATATGCACATGCACACATTCACACGCACACACACGTATATATATATATGCACAAACACACACAAACATACCCATATACACACATACATATACATACACACAGTTCAACAGTGACAAATGCAAGATACTCCACTTTGGCAGAAAAAATGAAATGCAAAGATACAGAATGGGGGATGCCTGGCTCGAGAGCAGTACGTGTGAAAAAGATCTTGGAGTCCTCGTGGACAACAAGTTAAACATGAGCCAACGATGTGATGTGGCGGCAAAAAAAAGCCAATGGGATTTTGGCCTGCATCAATAGGAGCATAGTGTCTAGATCTAGGGAAGTAATGCTACCCCTCTATTCTGCTTTGGTTAGACCACACCTGGAATAGTGTGTCCAATTCTGGCACCACAATTCAAGAGAGATATTGACAAGCTGGAATGTGTCCAGAGGAGGGCGACTAAAATGATCAAGGGTCTGGAGAACAAGCCCTATGAGGAGCGGCTTAAGGAGCTGGGCATGTTTAGCCTGAAGAAGAGAAGGCTGAGAGGAGACATGATGATAGCCATGTATAAATATGGGAGAGGAAGCCACAGGGAGGAGGAGGGAGCAAGCTTGTTTTCTGCTTCCCTGGAGACTAGGACGCAAGGGAACAATGGCTTCAAACTACAAGAGAGGAGATTTCATCTGAACATGAGGAAGAACTTGCTGACTGTGAGAGCCGTTCAGCAGTGGAACTCTCTGCCCTGGAGTGTGGGGGAGGCTCCTTCTTTGGAAGCTTTTAAGCAGAGGCTGGATGGCCATCTGTCAGGGGTGATTTGAATGCAATATTCCTGCTTCTTGGCAGGGGTTGGACTGGATGGCCCATGAGGTCTCTTCCAACTCTTTGATTCTATGATTCTATGATATATACATGTACACATGCTCATATACATTCACACATACATATATACATGCACACACATAATAATAATATTTTTATAATATAATAATAATATTTTATATTATTTTTATAATATTATAATTTTTATAATATAATAATAATAATACAATAATAATACACACATACATATCCACATGCATACATATATACACACAAATAGGCATATAGACAAGCACACACATATACACAATCTACATGTACACATATAAATACACAAATACACACACACACACACACACACACACATATGCAAACACATATACACAAATATATATACACACATACAGAGGTGGCTCAACCCATTACGCAAACTAAGCATTTGCAGTATAGTTGATTTTGCCCAGGGGCGCTCTTGAGGTGCTCTTGGGGGAAAATAAACCTTGTCATATGTGAGTTGTAGTTACTGGGATTTATAGTTCACCTACAATCAAAGAGCATTCTGAACTCCACCAATGATGGAATGGAACCAAATATGGCACACAGAACTCCCACGACGAACAGAAAATACATATCAGTGATTGGTTGGGGGGGGGGGGCAAAATACTGTTTGCTTACCGTTGAAAATTACATAGGGCCGCCTCTGCACACAAATATACACACACTCAAAACACATATATACAGCCTGGGCCACAGCAACGCGTGGCAGGAGACGGCTAGTCTATATATATAAAAATGTTCTGTTTGTTTTGAGTGACGCCATAACTCAAAAACCGCTGGACTCATTGCCACCCAATGTGGCCACAAGACACCTACTAACCCAAGGAGTGACCATCACTAAAAAAAAATTGATTTTGTCATTTTTTGTCAAATCTTGAGAGCTCACAGAAAGAGGGAGTAAACCATCATCCTTAAGGCCCAGCAGGAATATCCTCATGAGAAACTGCCCTTCGCACTAGAGCCTCTCTGTCATTGTCTGCATGAAAATCATTGACCAAACCATCTCGATCTTGCTGGAGTTTATAGTTCACCTACAATCAAAGAGCATTCTAAACTCCATTAATGATGAAATTGAACCAAACTTGCCACACAAGACTTCTATGACCAACAGAAAACTCTAGAAGGGTTTGGTGGGCATTGAGTTTGGGAATTGTAGCTCACCTACATCCAGAGAGCACTGTGGACTCAAACAATGATGGATTTGGACCAAACTTGGCATGAATCCTCAACATGAATCCTTGTGTCTCTTTCTTGCCTGCCTGAAACTATCAAAATGCATGAAATTAACCTTTTCCAGGCCGCAGGAGACTGCAGGCCTGCCCGGGATGCCTTCCTGGCATCTCGGGGAGGCTGAATCTGCGCTTCCCCAAACTGCGGATACGGAAACCCCTTGGGCCCCCGTATCCGCGAGATGGCGGATCGACTCCATTTTGATGGCATATTTTTCCTGGCTAAATTCTAACATTTATCGCCGCTAGGCTGATAAATGCGGTATACAAATGGAGTAAATAAATAAATAAATCTGCTATCTCGCTTTTGTATTTCGGGCTTCTACATCCAGAGAGCACTGTGGACTCAAACAATGATGGATGTGGATCAAACTTGACACAAATACTAAATATGCCCAAATGTGAACAGTGCTGGTGTTTGAGGAAAATAGACCTTGACATTTGGGAGTTGTAGTTGCTGGGATTTATAGCAAACCTATAATCAAAGAGCACTCTGAACTCCACAGTCGCCCCGGGATGATATGGGCAGGATAGAAATAATGTAAATAAATAAATAAATAAATAAAGGAGTTTGTCTCGAGATAATAGAGCCAATGCACTTGTTTAGCTTCCCTCCCCAAGGGAGGCAGGGAAACATCCCTCCCGGTACGGTGGCCGGCGAGAGCCCGGCGGATTGATCCCCTCTCCCCCCGCCCGCTCCCCATCGCTTTCCGAGCCTGGCAGAGATGTGAACTGCTCAACTCGTATTGGGTCTTTTGACAATTTCCGTTTAATGAATTGATTCCTACAGTTCATTAACATGCCCACTTCCACTTCTGTATACACATATGTCTTAATTAGCTGCTCATTGGCTGTTTAATTACGAGAAAACAGCTGACAGCTGCCTTGTTGCATCCTCATGGCAGAGACTCGGAAAAGGAAACACACCCGCCTGTGACAACAAAGACGTATTCATAATCCTATGATTTATGGCCAACACTTACACATTTCCACGTATCATTACGTTTTGCAATATTCTCGTAATTGCCAATTAGGAATCGGAGAGTTGTTCTTCTGCCCCCCTCCTTTTGGGGTTTTTCTCAACTATCTGGATTTAGTTTTCAACAAGCAAAACACACACACAAAACTAGTGTTCTCACTGGAGATATCCACACTGAGATCACAGAGAAAATAATTGTGAAGTATTTGACAAAGAATTTCTGGCTATCTTGTAGGCCTGTGCGATTCGTTTCGTTAATTCGTTAATTCGTTAATAATTCGTTAATTTTACCATTTCCGAA